AGTTTTTCATTCCAGTCAAGTTTATAATGCATGCCTGCAGTTTACTTGAAAACAACGTTTATTGTTAGTAAAAATGTAAGAAATTCTTCATCTTCAGACATCAGTTGGTCAGCTAGCCAGGTCAGTTGACTTTAACTTTGAATGGGCAGTTTATTGTAAGCAAGACTTAACACCACTTCCTCTGCACTGCGGCATTAAACAAATACTTTATATAACTTGATATTGTTCAGTACTGGGCGTTCCAGCTAAAAGTTATTTGTGGAACTACTTTTCGCAAGGCTAGATACAAATGTTTGCCTTAAGGACTTCATATTTTGTTCACAACTTTCTTCTCTTTGAAGACTAATTATCTTATTACATATTGCTCTATTTATTGCTCTATTAAAATTTACCCCTTAAAGTAGTTTCTGATGTTACTGACTTCACTGTATTTCCTAATCTCCTTCAAAATTATTTTGAATATTTTATTATTTTAAATAATATCTGGACTAGTTATTTGATTCGTTTTTAAAATTGGAGTATGCATTTTTGATCACCTTTTTATTTTAAAAATAAACAATTTTTTTATTTGTTTGTTTGTTTATTAATTCCTAGTACGACAAGAAGATTTCTTATAAATTAATGTACTAGTCACAAAGTATGCAATTTTCTTATATAAAATGAATAGTGATGTTTATAACCTACTTAACACTATTTTTATAAGATTAATATTATTAATACATGAATTTAAGGCTTGTTTTTCTTTCGGTTTTTTTCCTGTTTTTATATTATTATTAATACATATGTAAATTTAAGGTGATTTTTCTTTTGCTCTTATCGTTATCATTAAATTGGTACAAGAGAGTTGCCTAATGAATGTAAATGTATAGTATGGGTTTAGTGCTTTTTGTTTTTCAATTAGTTATACTCTTTGAAGTGTGCTTCAATTCTAGTTCTAAAATGCGTCTCGTTGCTGATTATTTTTAAGTTATGTGGTAGCTCGTTCCACAGATAAAAAATAAAAAAAGTATCTATATTCAGAATTCTTTAGATTCAATCTATCTCCTCTTTTTATTTTAATTACAATTGTCTTTAATCATGACTATAAAATGTATTGTTTTAAATTATCCAAGATATTTAAATACGAAAATAATTAAACCGAAATCTTGCCAAAAAACAAATTAATTTAAAATAATAATTTTGTTTCCTAATATATTGATTCTTGTTAATCAATCAATAAACTTATTTTCTTTAATTATTTCTGTATTTAAATTATATTAAATTGAATTTTAAAACTCATATTTTCCGTTCACTTTATTTCAATTTTGAATTATTATTGTAATTATTTTTCTCAGCTCAAATATAATTTTTTGAAGAAATCTCTCAGACAGCCCAGTCCTTAGGAAAAGTTAAAGAGATGTTAAAGTTAAAGAGATGATGATGAATAAAGAGGAATAGACCTTACATACACCCAATTTTTTTATATAAAACGCCAATTTGCTGCTATGTCATTTCTGCGGAGGACCCCCACCTGTTTCCCATCACAAGAGCATAATTCATCACTAATGTACAAACACACATGCATATACAAATAGAATTTGTTTGTCCCGTTTAACCTTCACACCTAGACAGGTCAGTTGGGGGCAGAAAGCAAAGGACGACCTCCCGCAGAGTTCTCAATGGCTCCGGCACACGTGTGTCCATTATGAGGCAAGGAAGCCAATATCCTAGCCATCCCTATTCGCTGTCGTCGTCATTGCGAGCCAATTTATGTGCGAGTGTAGCAGATTTTTATTTCGCCCATTGACAAAGCAACGATCAATCATTTCCGGACAGCAGCTTTAACAATAACAACCGTTAGGCAGTTTGCCGCTTTGACTTTGAATCGCTGCCATATTTAATATCTTTGCCGGGGAGAGAAGGAGAGAACAACATGGCAAAAAAAAGTGTGATGAATTGAAATATTGCCGCACGAATGAACGCCGCAGGTAATCAAGCATGAATCAGATGTGGGGCCCCTAATGAGTAAAATATTGCAAAAATATTGACAACTAAGTATAGAAAGCTCCCCGCCCTAATTGCCCCGCAGCTGTTTGAACTTTGCGCTTTAAACCGGAATGCTGGAGGGTGTGGAAGGAGCGACGAGGATGGAGAGTGAGGTATGAAAACAAAATTGAGTAATCAAAACAAAGCGACTGCGCCAAAGTGGCAATTCAAGCGCAAAGGAAGTAAACAATGTAAATAGCAAAGGGTTGCCAAGCCATAAAAGAACTGCTCGTTGTATTACATTGAGGCGCAGAGCCGCTGAATGGAACTCCAGCAAATATCGCCAATAAAGTATACAAGTATACTATATACATATGTATACATATATGTGTATATATAACTGTATTTATTTTGGGCTCAATCAATTTTATGGCATCAAGGTTATTCTTTTTTATAGCGCTGCCATGGAGACACTTGTGGGGTATGCTTGTGTGTGCTTAGCTAAATCGACTAGCCACTGCGTTTATAAACATATACTTTTTATACGAACATACCCAGCAAACATTTTACTCGCAGTAGATATCGATGCTTTCAGAATTACGAAAAGTTTGCTAAAGTAGGAAATAATGTTTTTTTAATAGTTCCATCAACTAAACGATCAAGGCATAAAATGATTATAAATAATTCTACCATTTCGCCAATTGATCGTTCTTCTTTGCAAATGGCCATCGTTTTATCACACATCCATCTTTACAAATATTCCAAGAATATTTCTGCTTATTGCATCATTTAAGTTACTTCGAGTGGAGTCAGCGTTTATTTACATAAAATTCATTGCTTAACTGTATTAAATGCAAATAAAACTATTAGCATCCACCTTAGGCTTTACATGAACCTAGACCTATGGATTGAATAAACTAATGTTTGTTTGCCGCAACATAAACGTTGCAGTTCAGTTTAAAAGTACATTTTAAGAACATATATTATTCTTATATTGCTCTTTTTTAAACAATAATGTGTGAACGGAAGGAGGTTGGTGGAGTTCTTATTGGAATAGAGATAGAATTGAGATTTCTAAATAATTGCGAGTGAGAAATAATTTTCGGGATAACATGCAATGGGAAAAATGTAGTTTCAAAGTTCTGGATTGTTTTGCATTCTAATCATAACGGACATTCAATTATCAATAAATATTCAGTTATCTAAAGTTTAGGTAACAATTGCACGTATCGTGTTTCTGTTAAGTTTAAGAATTTTATTATGCTTCTAATATTTTTCTTTTATTTTCTATTTAATATTTTAATTTATACTATATTATTTTTCTTTTATTTCCTATTCAATACTTAAATTTGTGATAGATTGTTATATGCCTACCAAAAGGTTTCGGTCCTCCATTAACAACATTATTATAATATTTTTAAATTCATTTAGATTACCTTTGATTTACTGCATCCGCAAAGGAAGCAAAGGAAGAAATAAATGGTGGACAGATACTGAAAAGTTCATCAATATGTTTTCAGGACCGTTTTCACACACATGTGTACAGTGTGTGTGTGTATGTGTGCGTTTATGCTTCGCCTGCCAACTGAATTATGCAGTAGTCGACATTTATTTTAAAGGCGCGACCCTGTCACACGCTCAACGTTGTGTCAGTGTGTGTTAGAATGCTTAAGCGTGCATGAAAATGCTGCCAGGCAACAAATAAAAAACAACAAAAAACAACTGCGCTTGTGTGTGTAGAAGTGTAGATGGAAACGCAAGTTTGAGTTGAAATTGTAAACTTTTAAGCTAATTTGAAATTTTAATTTAATTAATTCGTGCGGCTGCTGTTTCTGTGCATGTGTTGGTGTTGGTGTGTGTAGCTGAGGCCGACAAACAGCCCCGCAAAGTATGCTGTGAAAATTGTAAATCTGCTTTTATTGACAAGCAAAACGATAATTGAATTTTGGCAAAATTAATTGAATTCTGAGTTGGCGTTTATGAATAAACAAAGTACTATATACGTTCTATACACACAAAAAAGTTTGACGCGAAAGTGAAAAATAAAATTAAATATTCTAGAAATATTTCAGCAAAAATTAAATATCATGAAATATTAAATAGTGGAACAAACCTTTTTAATCATACAAGTAGGATTGGCTGGAAAATTAAAATATTAAAATTGTTCGTTATTTATGTATTTCATTCCTAGTGGGTACGACTTTAATTTAAATTAATTTGTTCTCAAATACAACCAACAACTATTATCAATTCAAAATCTATATTTGTACAACAGCTGCCTGAGGCATTTTATATAAAAAGCTGCCTACATTGTACTACATTCTACCCCTTGGAACAAAACATATTTTGTACACTTATCCTCACTCTTTCTGCTTAACTGTTTAAGCACATTTCACCGTCTTTGTTGCTCCCCATCATCCATAATCCTCTCCTTCTCTATTATTCTGTTTCCTTCCTTATATTAAGAAATAAAAAAAGCAGCACAACTAAGTAGTTTTGAAAAAGAAAAACTACATCGTCTTTTATGTTTTGCATATAGACTCAAGTCTCTATGAAAAATAAACAACTTTAGCAGAACTTCAACAACAATTTCTATAATTCAAAGATGTTTGAAAACCGCAAAGTTGTGCGGCTCTACCCACAAATAAAACTAAACCACTAGCAGGCAAAAGTTCTGCTTACCGTATCGTTTGAATATTTTCAACAAAAACACAAACAACAACAAAAAATTGAACTTCAATTTAAATTCGCCGACTCGCACTTAAATTTATGCATATTTCCTTTTCTTTGTCCACTCCACAGACTTGATTTGTTGGCAATAAAGTACACAATTATGGCCAACAAGAAGCATAAAGCGGCAAATAGATACAAAAAGTTAATAAACAATAACATTTCCCAGCAACCACAAAGACAAAGAGAAAGACAGCGACTGCGTTGTCGTCGCTGCAATTTGCAATACGAATATGTAAGTGGCTGAAGGGCCAGTGATATTGCCGAGGAACTTGGAGCACAACAGCAACAAATACGCAACATAAATGAAGTTAACAATCTGTCAAATTGTTAAATTATTTCTGCTGCTGACAGCCGCCTTCTCCTTTCACAATTCTCCCACTAAATACGGACGTGGTTTGTCCAAAGGGCTGCTCGTCCTTGCCATACCAGTAGACGACGAGGACGCTGCAGTGGTTTTCCAGCCAACTAGTGAGTTGGCAACGTCTTCAGCAGCAGTGACAACAACAACAACAACAGCAACCACACTCAAGTTAGAGCTAAGAACTACGTCAGCGACTGTCATTTCCTCGGCTGCATGGACTTCCACAACGGCAGCGTTTAGCGCAAATTCAATTTTCAGCAAGACACCAACACCAACAACAACAGCAACAATAACAACAACAAACTATAGCAAGCCACTGACGTCGACGACGAGGACGACGCCTACGCCCAGCAATGCGCCAGCGCGTGAAGGTGAGCGTCAGAAACGTCAGAAGCAAAAATCCGCAACACGCCAGAAATACCAACATCAGCAACAAGGACAGCAAGAGCCGCTGCCGCTGCCGCTGCCCAGCAAATCCGCACAGGATACGTCAACATTTCACCGTGTGGGTGTTTTAATACCTCCAGCCCTCCTCAATGATAAAATGCATGTGCAACAGGGCTTCCAGCACTTTGTGGACTATTTTCACGTACACCTGGATAATGTGACCGTTGAGTTCCTGCCCGATGTCGGTGAGTTGTAACCCAAAACTAGCCAATCAGCCAATCCATTAACAATCAACAGCTACACTCATAGAAAAATATATTCCTCATACATACTATATATACATAAAACAGTGAAGATTTGGCTTTTTACGCATTTACATAAATATTTAAAAAAGAAAAATGATTTGGGAGCCTTTTATTAGCAACTGAGTGGAAATCGAAACAATTTGAAAAAACATTCTAAATACTTTAAGGCTTCGGTTCTTATAAAATGGCTGCCCAGGCAACAAATCAATTACAACAACAACAAATTCATAGAGAGTAGAGATTGGGAAATTTTATTTCTTTTTTTTTTCTTTTTTTCTTTTTGGGAAATTTTTTTTTAATTATATTATGCTGTGCAATTGGTCTGCAGATTTGACATTTTTGTATATAAAAGACCACTCTTACAAAATTTTTATACCTTCAAGTCAATTTTAACTCATGCTTTATTCGAACCATGCCATGATTCTAGCCGAGTTCTATATAGTACATAGGAAGGAAAGGCTGACTAAAATGACTTTCAAATTATTGCACATTCTTTTGTCTGGCAACTGCACAGAAATCACAACCATTTGAAGAAAACTTATAGGCTGCGAACTTAAAACGAAAATCACACACAAAAAATGTGAAAAGAGCGAAAGGAATATTCATTGTGACAAATATTTGCATTTCGATTCATAAACACATGTGCAAGCATAGTCAAAACTGTCAATATTTTTTCCACTATATGCATAATGCGCATTTTTTCGACCAACAACACTTAAATAAACACGGACAGGGTACACGTGTTTCCATTCCCCTCCCCCCACACACCCCAGAAGCGCCAGCTAGTCAGGCAGTGTTGCTCGCCATTTTTGTTGATTTTTGTCGCTTCGATTTTCGGCATGGGGTGTGCCATCTATTTGCCTTGTCCGCTTGTTATTGTTGTTGTTGTTGGTATTGTTATTCCTGTTATTGTTGTTGCTGTTCTTCCTGCTGCCGTGCACATTTTAGAAATATTTATTTTGTGCGCAAATCTTTTCTGACACAATGACGACCCAACATGCATTTACACGTCATTTTGTCGATGATTTGTTTATGTGTGTGTGTATGTGTGTGTGTATGTGTGTGTGTATGTGTGTGTGTATGTGTGTGTGTATGTGTGTGTGTATGTGTGTGTGTATAGTGTTAGTGTGTTTTTGTGTGCAAGCGCTTCGCAATTTTTTGCCCCCCTGTAATGCTTTTTGTATACACGTGTGTGGCGCTGCTGAAAGGTTTATGGCTGGTACATGAAATAGTTTCAGCTTCATGAAGATGAATTTGAGTTGCAATTTTTTTTAAAAAGCTTTCAAATTGCATTTGGCAGCCTGCATGCAGTTTGTTTGTTTTACAAAAGTGCATATAGCATCAAAAGGCTTTCCGAAGATTGGCCGCTTTATTATTTAAAGAAGATTAAGTGCGTACGTAGATCAGTCAAGTAATTTTGGCAGCAATGCAATAAAAGAAATCCGTAGGGATTGTACTGTTGGTTTATTTGTTATTTTCCATTTATGCTTTCAATGCAAAAATATCAAGAAATGTTGTTAGTTTGCAATTGCATTGCATTATTTATACCGCACACAACATCACTATTTTGTGGGCTGCTTGAATGCATTAGAATGCGGTTGAAACTATGTCTAAAGCGGTTTAATGTCAAGTTATTGGCTCAGTTTACTTGTCTTAGTAAGTTTAATAACATATCCTAAGTAGAGAAACCCAACTTGCGGCTTAATATATGTGAAGATTTATTATATAGTTGTCTAATGTCATATATCGACAGCAAGAGCTACCAAAATTATTTTTATAATTATAATTTGTATATTTTTCGTTAATTGATTAATTAAGTAAGCTTATATCGTACGATTTATTCGTTTATTTACAAAAAGTTTGTATTTTTGCTTAAACATTATTTTACATTCTCCTTAAGTATTACAAATTATTTACTCTTCTAATGATTAGCACCAAATGTACACAATTAACAAACATATTTATGGCATTCAAAACAATTTAATTGGCTTCACAATTCGGCACACATTTCAAATAACGTCGTAATCACTTATTGATCAGCAGTGAGCATACACCTCAATGAATTTGAATTGCACACAAGTTCACAAATCAATCGATGTGAATGATTAGGAATCAGAGCCCTCTCCAAGCAGGAGCCATGAATAAGCTAGCAAAAAGGGCGCGCCCATAAGTATGCTTCAAAATGTGTTTTCCCCCACATCAAGTGTACGTTGAATGAATGCTTGGCTTGGCTTGTTGGCCATTCTTGTTGGCAATTATGAGTCAGTTTCAGTTTCCTTTTAGCAGCATAGTTTTTTGTATAAAATATGTAATAAGTGCAGAAAAAATATCATAAAATACTTGTGCAGTCAAAGCGGCCAAAGCGAATGCTTGTTTGGAAACTTGCTGGCAAAACGAATAGTTGACCAAGTTAATTTTTTTCTTTTCTTTTTAAGGGCTATGCCCTTTCAAAAAATTGAAAGTCTGCCGCAGAAATGAAATTTTGGTGCTGAAATTATAAGTTGTCACTTGCAAAGGAATATAAGCGAAATATTTATGATGTCCTCCATGGCCAGTTGGCGACTGCAGCAGGCGGCAAGTTCTTTAGCTCGAACATGCCAGCCTGTAATTGAAGGCAATGTAATTAAAGTTGTAAGCGCGGAAAACACGCAAAAGTAGCGTGGATTTAGCGCAGAAACCTTGTCATCTATAGCAAGTACTTGTAGCTAAGGGGCAGGTTGGACAAGGACAAGGACAAGAACATCGAAGATGTCGTGACAGCTCCAGCTTCAGCAACTAGCTCTCTAATTTGTTTTAATTGTGCGGCAGAAATTATGCAGAAAGAATAATGCATGATAATCCAGTTAAGTCGGCTCACAAATTGACAGTTGTACTTAAAGCAAAGTTTAGTAAATAGTTTAGACAGTTTTCTGATTTTAATTAGTTTTCTTTATTCCTTTAAGTTGAATTAAAACTTGAGTGTGTCAGCTTACCAAATCATCAGTCAAATCATTTATGAATTCAATTAAGCAATCAAGCTTTGTTCAAGTTAATGTCAGAGTCTTTAAAAATTACATTCAGCTGCTGTATAAACTGAACTACAAGAAAACTATTTAAAGCTATAGCAATGCCCTTTTCAAACTACACATAAACAAAGCAGAAAGGAAATAAAACTTTCTTAATTTAATTATTTTCTTCGAATTCAATAATCTAAACAAATATACGCCTTTGGGAAGTAGACGTGCCTTTTAAATCTTTAAAAAATTAAGCAAAAACTCGTGTTCCTCTTTCTTGCCTCAATGTCAAAACACCTTGGAAATTCGAGATATATGTTCTAACGGTCATTTAATTTGCTTACTATTTTCGAAAGTATCAAAAATATATTGTAATAGTGTTCATTGGAGTATCTGCAGTATGGAAGGCAAAGAAGCAAAGTGCAGAGGCCGTGACGTAGAATTAAATAGCTAAACAAATTTCATTCCAGCACAGTCTACTTTCCGAATCGGGGCTTTGCTAGTGTGTTGAGGCAGCAAGTACAATATTATCTGAAATTACGAAATTATTTGAATATCTCAGCCGCCTATAGCGTTTAAATTACGTAGACTATCAAATTACTGCTTCCACATTAAATACAAGTCCATATCCCACACCGAACAAAACTCAGAGAAAACTCTAAGCCTTTTAAATTTTTCTTAAGCCCTCTCACTGTGTAGCAAACTGTGAACCCCATGCTGATAGTTTCCACTTTAGTGCGCCTAATAAGTTAATCAAAGTGAAGCCACACTAAACTCTAAATAAAAGTGCAGCTGGCACATTGAAAGCGCTAGCAAAAGTTTTTCGCGCACTTCACAAATTAAAGAGTCGGCGCCTAAGAAAGAAAGAACTTTTAAATAAATAGCATAGAAAATAAATTAAAAGTTGTAATGCCAGCTGCAGTGGAAAAACTTTTGACGTACGACTGCCCATGGGCGGGAGGGGGTCCTGGGAAAACAGATGTTTGGTGTTTGGTGGCGATAAGCGCACCAACAATGCGCTTGTTCATGCGAAATTATGTTTGTCGTTATTACTTTTATTATTATTATTACAATTTCTATAAATGAATTGCTATAAATCGCGATAAGCAAAGTTTCGCTGGCCACACCGAAAACCAGGACCGCGCAAAGTGGGTTAAAGGCTCACAGTTCAATTTGTTGAACTCAGTTCAGCTCGACTGTCAAAGTTTTCTGAAGATTTCTCTGGCCACTATTCCCGTTCTTCGGGCTTTTGTTATTCATTGCCTGCGTTTCTTTTCAATTTTCCTGCATTGCACTCTGGGCCGAACATTGTCCAATTGGGTACATTTATCAGCTTTAATGATTTCATACAATTGGTTTTTTTTGTAAAATACTGAAACGCCATTTACTCGTAATAAGAATCAAATTAAATGTACAAATAAAATAATAAAATTAAAATACAAATAATGCAAATGACAACAAAAAACTTGAAATGAACATAATACATACAAGGAAATTTATGTACACTTATAAATTTAAAACAATTTAATAAAGAAATGGAAACATTAAATTTAAAAAAGTAAAAAATAAAGATTTAACTATATATTGCTGAAAATAAACAAAAAATATTGAGATAAAATTCATATATTATTAAAAAATATAATAAAATATAATGTAAATGTAAAAATTTAATTTAATGAAAATATAATTACGATTGAAATAAAATAAAATTGAATAATAATAAAATAACATAATTTACCGAAAAAATTAAATAAAAAAATAACCACTGTAACACTAAAATTGTAATAAAATTAAACCAGTACAATTCAAACATTATTTAAACTAAAAATTATTTTATAATAATAAAAGGTGAACAATTTAAATTAAGAAAACTGAAATAAAATCACTTTCATATAAATATAAACATTAAATGACTAATAATAAAACTGAAATAAATTTTAAATAAAT